CATACCGAAATGGAAAACTCATAAAAATATAAATGTCTGATAGCAGTCCTTGGCAAATGGTATTTTCTTTCTAGTTCTGCGGACCCGACTCGAAGTCTGTGGCCACTCCACACAGAGTGTGGATAAACCCGTGGGGACAGGGACAACGATGTTCCCTGTATCTATGCTGGTGAACTGTATTATCTGCGTCGACTCAGGTCTTGAATTTTGATGAACTCCGATTTCGTAAATCAGCTGTTTCGTAGATACTATCATCACTTGTTGAGACCATACATTTCCATACCAGCCAGATTTCCAGACCCTGTGTAAACATTGTGAAAGGAAACTGTAGTAATCAGAATAGTACTGAATTGAGGTATACGAGAATCCGTACTATACTGCCATAACTGAATTGGCTCAAACCGAACTGCGGACACCAATGAAATACAAGAGGAATTGATAGCAGCAAATGCTTATGTTTATTGATAGAATTAGAGCATGTTTTATAGAAGGAAATATCTCATATGATTGGTTGAAGGGCCGTCGTCCAACTTCGTAACCGTTTGCGCCGACGCATCATATGTACTAACTCGGAAGTCACGTTCGCCCAGTGTACCATTGGTCGTGCTTCCTGAACGGTGATTGGATGACATGAAACTGTCCCTAGTCATGCATGGATTGCGGTCACGGAAGTCTGGATCACCACAATGAACCTCTATGGTCAAAACAAAGAGAGAGTGCAGAATTGAACTCTGCATACATAACTTTCCAAGCATTCTGAGTTTATCAGAAATGAAAAGAAGAACGCCTCTGCTGTCGATTCGCTGCCATATCCTTCAATGTCTTTATTCGATCAGTTGCAGAGTCTCTCGGACTCCTGGAAGTTGCGAAACACCAGTGCATTTCTTCATATCTCGTCTCTACGTCATCTGTTCAACCCCACGTGGTTTCCTCTCCCCCGAAGCGGTTACAACGACTAGCGTGCGGTAGGTAACAGCTGGACGTAAACAATACGTTCCCTAACCAACGAAGTCTACTAACCTAAATTCGATGAGCCAGCAGGTTTATCCCTAATAAACTCCCAAACACATGACGACTTACCTCGAACTCACTAACCCGTTCGCTAAACTTCGTAAACATCGATGATCGAAAACCTCTAGTTGATGAATATGTTCTACTCGCAAATTCAAGGTTTCACAACCATAAAGCACAACTGGACGAACGGTGGCACAATATACACGACCTTTCAACTTCAGTAAAATGTCACATCTACGCCTCAGGCGTCTCAGTTCTGCGTACGCTGCTCGAGTTTTGGAAATGAGGGTGGTTATCTTCTTTGCTGCACTACCATGATTAGTCACCGAAGTGTCTAAGTAGGAAAAGCAATGCACTATGTCTAATTCCTGGTCAATAATTTTCCAATTGGTACTCAGCGACACCCAATCTTGCAGCATAATGTTTTATTTTGTCAGTGCGAAGGACTTGTTTGTCTATCAATTGCTCTTTGTCAGTGTGTGTATCATGGCAAAACCTCGGCTGATATTAATCTCTCGAAAGGCATCACTTCTGGATTCCTCGTTATCAGTGAAGCTCTTCTATCGCGCCATGGTTGAAAATGGCATGCGTAGATCTACCGGAACGGCATCATTCTTCAAGTCCATTGACAGTGATATGACCATAACCGTTTCTTACACCAACCTGTAGGCACTGATTCATCACGGTTGTCAGTTGGCATAGCGTAATACAAGCTTGGCATAATCATCATCTGTTTTACAATTGATTGTATAATCGCCTTGATAAAGGTTTCCCGCGGTAACAGAATCGTCGGCTTATTTTTACCTGTACCGACATCGCTGTGTTTGTAAAATTACAACTTAGATAAATTATAACTTACTAAGAAATTATCAAATTATTACGGTGACCGGATTACAAATGTTAAGGTATGAATGAGTTGTTTTATTCAGTAATATCACGATCGGTATTGAAAAATGATTGCAGTGATCGTTTACGGTAATAAACGGTGTCGTTCGAAAGCTTTGTGCCTAAGAAATTTGAAGGGTGATATTTTCGGTGGTAATATTTTCTGTCCCGTTTGGGCGATCGATGTGCAAAGTAAGCTAGCGTTGAAAGAAACGTGTGTATAAAATTTTTCTATTTTGTCAGCTGGAAAAACGAGCGCTTTTCACACAACCAACACTATATACATTCAGCAGCACAGGTTTTCTTGTTCTCAGTTCACATGATTTGAAATTTATTAAGGTTTTTTTTCTTGCTAGAGGATAAATTCTAGCAAGTTCTTGAAACTTGCAGACTGACTCAGTGCTGTTCAGTGTGAATTAACTGTTGTTGGAAACATTTTTTTAACTGAGCGCTGAGCATCAGAAATGAGGGCATCCATGATATTGGATGATTGAATTGCTAACACTCAGACGCACAAACGGTCATGGAATGCTCAGAGAATAAACTTTTATCTCGATAGCTACTCATGTATGTTGGATGTTTTATCGGACAGCATATTTGCCAGTGTAACAGTGGTATGATTTGTGGATGAATGGTACACGGCGATTGAAAGACAGCATCCAAGTATGTTTGTTTTGCGCGTCGGATCGGCTTATCTATCTCACCGACCACTAACGTCTAAGAGGATCCTGAGTACCATTTGTGGTATCCTGTATCCTAATCCACCTATCCCCTTCACTGTCATTGTTGTTGCGTTGGCACCATGCTTGTTTTCAAGCCGGTGGTAAATATACATATATATTTGTGGTTACATAGTAGTTCGCATCTGGTTACACTAGTAATTGCTAGTTCGCGTTGGTTGTTTGGAGTGACTCCGCATGATCAGATTTGAGACCGTTAACCGAAGAATAAACCAGAAATTGCGAGTACTGAAACAATGATCAACATACCGACGTGGGTGAACCACCAGTGTGATGCTAAACCAGGTGCATTAGCGCAATGGAATTGAAGTGTTTGTGACATCAAACGTAAACGACAGAGTACCGGACCAATAAACACGTCAAACGAAACAAACATACCATGACGTAGGACAGAACAGATCGACACACTACGGCTTATAAAGGTGAACGTTTGCAATTTCTCTTCTCTATGGGTCTATCTTCATCAACTTTGGAAGATTATTTATTTGCATAGAATCACTATTCTAATCCGTGCCAAATTCTTTCATCTGTTAATGGTTTTGACAAAACAGGTATTAATGGAAGCCGGGAAGTGAAAAAAACAGCGCCTGAAAAGAATACCGCGGAACTACACACTCTTTTTCTCTTAGCGATACATGCAGTCAAATCACTCAGTAGTTTGTGTCAAAACGGACCTTCCTAAAGGCCTTGCAAGCAAACTGGAGTTGTTCCCACTGGATTCTAGAATAAAACAGACTTAGCGGCAAATCCTTCTTAAAAGGTAGCACTCTCTCGGAGCCGAGTGCGTATACCCAATACCAAGACAGTTGTTTATAGGATGTGTGAAAAGTTTCTCATGCTCCTAGGTAGGTGATTAGTGGGAGTAATTACTGGACTGTACGGATTGGCCTAAAATCGTTGACATTTCTTCTCCGATTCCGACCACTTGGATGGTATTTGAGCACGAAGGCATCACACAAGACTTGCCGCTCTTCGTTATCATGACCCATCGGGGAATATCATCCTCATAAAACCCTTTGGGAACACGCAGCATCGTTGATGCTGATATAACATGTACCTGGAATGAATTGTGAGAAATTTTAACTTATACAGTTGTCTGAGGAACAGCAGCCTAATTATGTATATGGACGAGGAAATCACTTCTGAATTGGTGAAGAGCAAATCAAACTTTTACAAAGAGCATCCATCAATCCGTAGACCTCCTTTTGGTCCCCGAGCATGTTTTCCTTTTTTCACTGGTAATACCATGCGCATGTGCTATCCCCAGGCGCATCAGCCAGCATGCAGGAAAATGCACGAATTGTGTACGAAATCGAAAATAATAAACCGCTTTAGTGCATTCAGGCTGACTCGGTCGAATTGGAGGTGTTAGGCAGCTTGTTAAATTCAATGGACTATCCAGGCCAATGTTGAGGCCAACGTGATACGCGACCTCAGAAGCCAAGTCCGAATTTTCCAGAGGTTTATTCGGCTCCAACAATAGCGAATAAGTAAGCGGTATTGTAAATATTAATTATTAAAATTACATAAACAACGCACCTCAAATAGTGGCGTCCCCAGGGAGTATGCCTGAATCGGCGAAATAAACATTTCCAAGTGAGCAATGGAGGATTTGATTATATTTCAAAGGTGAATTTGTCATGTATATGGCAAGTGAAGCGTGGACCGAAAAGTTAGGTAGCACTGGACAGCTGTTTCCATCTGGTTGGGTCTCATCAGCAGTGCGAATCCATCGATCCAACTGGGGATCGAACCCAGTGTTTCCTAGCTTTTCAGTTCACGCTTCATTTCCTGTATATACCATGAATGCCAATGGGGAACCAAGGTGCGAACGAGGGAGTTCACCACTCCGTCAAACGAACAAGCGATAAGTGAATAACGTCAGAGCGCAAATGTGCACATGGGACAGTGCGACGCATGGGTGAGATAGAGAACCAATCCGAATAGGACTAAGCAACTTCGTGCGATAATCATGGAGCAGGATGAGTCAGACGATAGCAGGGTCAGGGATAACGGTCACGAGAAGAGAAGGAGGTGGTATTGGGGAGGGGGGGAACCAAGATTGGTGGGCGAGCAAAGAAATGGAACGAACGAAAAGAGCATGTCTGATAATCGATAATACGCACGGGTCAAGACAATGACACTTGCGGGAGAGATCACTAGACCCATTAGTGGGTGAAAACGTGTGAACGGTAGCAAACAGATTCAACACAGCTACTGTATCTGCGTAACCATTGTTTTTCAGCGGTTGTTTTTGGTTCAGGAACACCGAATGAGATACATGCAAGAGGGACTTCAACAAAGTTTTACGCATGTCCCTCACCCATATCACAAATTTGGTGAGCAACGCGTCTGTAGTAAGATAAGAAAGATACAGTTAGCATCACTCAGATACTGGAGAACGCATCTCACATTGCAACATGGTTCTCAGTACTCTGTTTTATTCTGTACAATACGAGGTAAAATGCGTCTGTTCGTTTCTAGACAACACCATGCGCCTAGTCGCACCACATATCTCATGAATGCTTCGTCGTTGCACACGAAATTTGTATATGGACTGGAAATCATACAGTTGTCTTGTAAATCTGTAAGAGAATGTTTGAAGAATCATGTCGGGATTGTTTATGTGAGGGAGAGAATCATTCTGTCAAAAGAAAAAACTGAAGAAAGGTGTCATTCAAGGATGGATGAAGTTCAATGTAGAGATTCCGGAGTTAAACATAGAATTGTTTTGGTCAAGGTAAAATTGAAGTCACACACACGAATCTGTAGATCGTATTTGGGATGCAATATGATCGCACAGTTTGTTTATTCTTTCATCTAATTGTCGAGATTGGTGGCGAAATGTAGGCGTGTGTGTGCACAACTCAAAAGACCGGAAGAAAAGCGGTGAAATTATGATATCAGAAGCTGGGATCGTGCTTCTAGATAGAACGTATTATACAGAATAGATGAAAGTTGTATTGACTGGCTAGTTGAAATTCATATCAGATAAAGTGGGTCACACAGGACGTTGCGATACCTAAAGGCGACCTTTTTGAACGTATTCGATCAATGGAGACGATTGCCCGAGTATATTGATCACCAAAGTAACACCAAAAGGAGATACTCGTGCAACCGACTCTGGATATATGTGACTCCATGTCATGCTGCACCAAAACGGTGGGTTGCATTACTGGAACCCGTTCGCATTGAATTAATTAAACACATCATGCGATATACACTCATTTTTGTGAACAGTAATGGTCACTTGAACAAAACCAGTCGAACAGTGCTAACATTAGAGGTTAGTTCGCACTTCAGTCATTTTCCTCTCAGTGAAATGATCGAATATCTTGTGCACAAAGTAACTATGTTGAGATGACTTGGGACAACCGCTTTCGTTTATTACTGCACGTGCTACGCTTTTTTTCGTCCAACAGATAGATTTATCGACAAAGAGACAATTTGGACGAGGAATGGCCACTAGAATCGTTGCTTGTTGATTCGATCAGACACAAATTGGAAAATACCGGACTCACGTGGTCCGTTTGTGCTTGTTTTTTGTGCACGCGATATGCTGATGGAATTCGTCGTGTGATTAACGTGATATCAGGAAGCAGAACTATTCACCATGTTTAATGCTACCCATAAAATCACGGGATTCCCTTTAGCGAGGGAAAAGCACAATAAGCGGACACTTGTTGAAGTCTGTCAGAGTCGTATATTGGACGGCCCGAAAATGAGCTATCCGGACTGCCAAGTTAGAAAGATGATTCCATGCAATGGGGGTATTTCTACGTAAAACGAGGTCACAATCTTATGTTTGACTACGGACATATTTGGTAATGTATTGATGTGATTCCAAATAACTGAAAGACAGCTTTTTTGCAATCTATATTCTCTGCAGTTGTTCACACATCTATACTGCTTAGGTAAGAGTATGCCACAGCCGTGTCTGTTACTACTATTGACAACTGACGGACACTGTGTCCTGTGGAATGTGGTTATTTGTACTATACCTTTAGTTTGGTCCTGGAGGCATTCTGCACCCCGTTGAAGTATGCGATATTCAGAGTAAAACACCTGAACTTTGAGCGCACCGTGAATACGTGTGATGCTTGACGTGTGCTACAAATTTCCAGGGTAAAACCTAAAAACGGCAGCGGAGGAACACGAAGAATATCCAAGAAAACTGTGTTGCGCCCGACATACCACCACTTCCAAAGCTAAATTTTGATCAATCCGTTCACTTTGAGACGTTGAGTGCCCTTTTACAACCATTGAAGTCAACATATTTCAATTCCATTTTACGAGCCATAATAGTCGTGTAAGCGATAGTTGATTCAGATGAACGGTATGAGATTATTTTTAAGAAGGTCACTGCTTGAATTGATCTAGAAGAGAACTTCTTTGCATTTCGATAGCATTTTTGTCGATCGTATTGTATTGTTGTGATTTAATGTTTATCAGTAATGACCCCCCTCCCACACTATCTTATGTTCTCCAGTGGATCATCAGTTGGCTAAGTCAGACAACATTCCTCCCCATATCTACGGTGATTACTGTTTGACGGCATCGGTACTAATCACTGCTTTTGCGAGTGTGAGCTAATACGAAAGGAACACATTTGCTAAACGCTACATTCAGTCAATTCAGCCAGCATTATGCTTCGAAATAGATCTTCCGGTTGGTTGATGGGAGTAGTGAAGTACTCAAACGGATTCATTCAAAGGGTTTGAATTTTTTATTAAAGTTTGAATAGTCCCGTAGAATACATTTGAGAATAACAACGGCGTGGTGAACAAACGCGTTTTCAGAACGATCCTCTTGTGTCCTGTATCAGACAGTGTATCCTATACAGACGATACATTGACNATACATTGACGATGTATTATATGTAGCAGATACAAATGCAAATCGGCTGCTTGAGGAGTTAAACAATGTTTATCTGAACGTAAACTTTACTCTAGAAAAAAAAATAACAACAGTCTAGCTTTTCAAGACGTATTCATAAACCACCGTCCAGTTATCCGTGCATAGGAGAACAATATGGAATGGACAGAGCGTTTCACTTCCACAGTCATGTCCCTCTTCGAAAAAAATAACTTTAATTCGTTGTTTTGTTCATAGAAAGAAGAAATTATGCACGGTGGACAGTATGGTTGGTGAGCTTCAGTTGGTACGTCCCTGTTTTGCACACACTGCTAGAATACGAGGAACGGCCAAAAGAACTAGGGGCATTTAAGAAATCTGTATATGCGTATCTGTCGTCCAAGGGAGAAATGGAGAGGGAAATCATTCAAAGAACGCTTTCAGCTGCAGTAAACAGAACAGTAAACGCTGTGCAAGTGAAAGCTGTATTCATATCTAAGCTGATTTTATGTCTCCGACTAAAGACACGAGAGTCAGATTCTGCAGCCTCATTCACCTGAGACTAAGTACGTTGGTCGAACCACCAAGCGCTTATTCGATCCGGTTCGTGAACGTCACCCGTCATGGGCGAGGACGGGAACAATTGCGACAAATTCGAGCTCATCTCGGTCAATCAAGTCACTCAGTGGATGTGGCAANNGCAAACGCGTTCCGATCGATTCACAAGGTTCGATGTAGCCAAGCAAGAACAGTGAAGCATTGTATCTTGGCCGCCACCCAAGCCATAAGTATTCTAACTCATAATTACCCAGACGAAATTCGTGCAGGCGCTTAATCTCCCCCTGGCTCACTTCATCCACCCCAACACACGTGCAATCATTTACACTTTTGGAATTGTGATCAACTTAACATGAATACCCGCACACAGGTTCCGATACAGATGTGAACCATTGGGATTCAAATTTTCTTCTCTTTTTATTTATGTTGTTGTTTATATTTAGTGTTGTCTAATGGAGAAACTACGAATAACTGAATACGAGCTTGTTCGACATGCGTTTGTTGTTCTCAATCAGAGCATTTCCTCAAAAAGCGGTAATCTCTAAGGTGCTCATGCACAAACGAGTCATACGGTACTGTGATTGGTGTCGCCGTTAAGGAAAATACAACCTTGATCAAACGTTTTCACATCATGAATTGTTATCGATGTTTACGACGTGAGTAAACCAAGTGAGATGAAATGTTATTGTTTGTGCCTATTTTTGTTCATCTAATTGTAAGGACAATCCCTTTTATTAACCATTTACTTATTTCTGAAAGTTGCATCATTATATGTTCCATAAAGGGAATTAAAATGCAAAAATGTAATTGTTCATTTCGGCTATGAGATGACCTTCGGATGGTGTGTGCGCGGATTATGGACCTGAGTGGGTGCATGGAGTCAGTCACACGGATGTAGGAAACCACTAGAGGGGCGTCATCAACGAGGTGCACACGTTAATCAGGGGTATGAAGAATTTCGAAAAAGACTCCGTTCACAATTTGTAGAGCGCGCACATGTGCACCTCTGTTGAACGCTTTGTTCAAACAATGGTGTCACGACTATGCTTCCGATGACACATTTTATTGTTTTTCGGGTCAGCCTCTCTGTTAAGCATGTGTGTGATTCAGGTTGGACAGATTCGAACGGTTCAATTGATACTCACATTATGCGTTCGTCTTGCCTGACTCATGTATGTTTTAACATCTGTGTTTACGATCTATCACGGCGCTGTGTCTACACAAATTGTGTATGCAATAGTTATACTCTTGAACTTAAAGAACCCTGTATCATGACTTGTCCTCACGATTCACTCGGGTGTGTCTTAGAGATGAGTGTAAGCTACTTGACCCAAGACATGTGCAAGGAAAACTACACTGTTGACAAAAATGAAATTTAATCGATTAGTAGAGTCCCTGCACCCATCCTCGAACGAGACGCTATTGAACGACCTGGTTTCCGTTAGCACTTCGTTCTTTTTCTGGAATCTCCAATAGCTATGAGCTTTTCCTCACTGGGTCAATTGGATTTCCAGGGTGGTGGTGGCTAGCGTTCACCGTACTGGTTGGAACTCATGACGGTATTGCTTTGTGCGCGCATTTCTACGCGATCTTACGGCACGCGCATCACGGTTTGTCAGTCTGGCCCACTATATCAGTTGATGGTGCACCGATAGCACGAAGGTGAGGGTTTATCGCTGTGGCATGTGCCCGCGAATATCAACAAGTTTCCGGATGCTGGAATACTTCATGAATGCCTTCGGTCTCATTAGGAATGTCTATAGAACGCGCATCTATTGTAAAGCAATCAGGCTCACGGCTGTCATTCTCCCACCACCCGAAGGCATCTCTTTAAATAAAGACGAGCTGTTAAAGGGAAATCCATCCCATTCAGCGAAGAGGCAGGCCTGAAACTACTCCGCAAGGGAGCATTAGAACTGACTGGGATCATGTTTTTCTATTCCATTTAACAATTAATTGATAATCGCCACTTATATGTTATGTCTTTCCTCTAACTAACTACGTTAATTTCCGATAAATGTCCATGAATAAAATGTGGACAATTTTGTGTGGTTTCAGAATTCGCCATCAGCTACTCAGATTTACGAGGTGATGACGTGCCGGGTGTCGGAGACACACATCCCTATGTTGATTGATCGGTTTGTAAAGAAAAAATACTCACTTTATTTTTACCAAAATGAACATTCAACAAGTTGTTTATTTTGAGGGTAGAGGTAGTGTTTTGTGCAGTATGATCTAGTTTGTTGATGGGTCTGGCGAAAGGGTTCGTTCGTTGTTCGCAATCAGGGATGAATATAAAAGTACAGTAGAGAATGTTTTTTGCCCACCAACCTCACCGATGAGCTCCGGTACTTGACGCTTCAATTCACACACACACGCACATAAACATATTCAGTTTCACTTTTCCCATATAAAGAGAATCGTTCGCTCGTCAAATGAAAAAGGCGGCTGTTCACCGATTACGTTCCACCAAATCTGGTTCTCAACACCTGCGTGGTACACATAACAGATATCACCGAATCAGGCAAATTGTTGATCTCTAGATGGGTCGGTTTAAATGTTCGTTTGCGCGCTGTGAAATTCGCGTATCAACTAAGGGGAAAGTGAATGATATCGTGATCCACAAAAGTGAAACCATCTGGTATCTTGACCATGGAGACATGCGTTATGCAGTTAGTTAGCAGTTTAATTGATCCTTTTTTTGCACTTACGTTCACGTAATCTGATCAACGTGAACAGAATGAAGATTAATGGTGTAACTTGGTGCACCCTTGAAGTCAGCCTCACTATAGATTCTGTGCGTAGTTACGCACCAATGGCAGTTGGTGTAAACAGTAGCTATCTATGTGACTCTTCTGTCTCTGCGATCATTCATCATCACGTCATCTCAAAATATAAATTAGAGAAAACCCTGTGATGCAAGCACTGAGGTCATTTGCGTGGAGTTTGTCGTCTCACTTCTACGCAAGTGGTTCGAAGTTACACGTTCGATTCTCCATCGGGCTGATCGATTTGCACTGTTGTTGATGCTCAGCTGGGTTGAAATTGGCTGAACATAGCGTTTTGCAGCCCCTCAAATCACGTGTCTCATACTCTCTTCAAGATGATGCAGATTCAGTGTAAAATTGCGTGGTACAACTGTTCAGGGTGCAGATTATATTGTTGATTACGCGTTTTTCTTTTCAGACTGTGAGCACCATGTTCCACGATGCGTTGCTTTACAAGATGTAAAACATTTTGGATCAGCACAACTTTGAGGAGCTGACAATTTTGAGTGGGTTAATGGTATCGCTTCTCACCATTCAAGTGGTTGAATGCTGGCCTTTTGATGTGGATTAGTGACATTGAGCGGCCATAGACTAAAGATTATTTAAACCTACGGGAAAAGTAGAGACTTTAAGATATGCGACATTTGAATAAGTTGGTGGACAAGTAAGTTCCGTGATTTTGGTTTTGTGATGAGTTTAGACCAACTTAGAGGACTCAGGATATAGCTGCAAGGTTCCAGGGGGTAAAATATTAGCTTTATGTAAGTAATAGGTTTATAATAGGACAAAATCCCTAGCTCCGGAAAAGTTAAGAAATATCCCTAGGCGGATCCAACTCAATTTCCGGCGACGAAAAAAATAGGGGTCTGTTTGAGAAGATCAGGCAGATATTGGGGAATAATAGCATACGAAATTAGCTCATGATCATGCCTACCGNTCATGATCATGCCTACCGAAACGCAATGAAAGTCTACTATCGTCTGTCTTAATAGTAAAGGAATATAAATTGGAACGTAATGCTCACACTCAGCAAAGAAAATGCGCTCAGCAATGTCACTTATGTGGAGCCTTATAAATCATAGTTTATTTCTGAATACACGCTAATCTCGTTCGTGTTCCAGGGTTCCTCGGGCTGAGAACGTTTCGTGGACAGGTCAAGTAATACAAACCAGATAGGCGGTACAGTGTTCAGTTGGTGTTGTTAGTACGATTCGATAAGGGCTAAATATTCAGTGATAAGGTTATCCGTGATTGCAGCCGTTGAGTACATTCTGCCACTCGCATTCAACGTGTTTATGAGTCCACTTCCCAATAGAGTGATGTTGCTCGAACGTGGAACAATAAAAACACTAACAATATATTAACTTGCAAGTCAGACAAATAGCATCTGTCAATGGTTACCATAATTGCAAT